GGGGCAAGGAGAGAGCGGGTTATGGAATGGGGTGGCAGTTAGGAAGAGGCTGGATCGTGCAGGTCCTATAGGCTGTGTTTAAGACTGATAGCTATCGTGAGGAGGATGGGTAGCAACTAGACAGCTTTAAACAGAAGAATGATAAGACAGATGTGCATTGTTAAAACGATCACTGTCTACAGTGCAAAGGCTGTGATACGGGTGGGTGAGAATGGATGTAAAGAAACCGGACTGGAGGTACTGCAGGAATCCAGGCAAAGGCAGACAGCAGCCTGAGCAAAGGATAGTGGTATTACAAATGGAGAAAAATGGATGGACTCAAGGGATATCTAGGAAATAAATCAGGAAGGCTTGGCAATTGATTAGTCAAGAAAGGATGATGGAGAGAGGGATGTCAAGGATGACTCTAGGGTTTGGCGTATCCAGGTAAGTGGATAGATGGTGGTGCCATCCACCAAGACAGGAGAAGTTGAAGGAGGAATGGGCTGTGTGGGCATATATGGAGTGAGGAGGAGATGAATCATAAGTTTAGTTTTGCTCATGTTGAATTTAAAGTGACTTCGAGATACCTAAATGCATTTATCTCTACTAGGCACCTAGATAGATGGAGCTAGAGCTCTGTGGCAGGTTGGATTTTTGTTTCTGATTCTTCACTCGCTTGCAATAGAATTTCACACTCACACTCTTTGCCATGTAACTTTGCAGTGCCTCTTAACTAGTGGGAGGAGTGTATTTCCCCACCCATTGATTTTAAATTTGGCCCTGAAACTTACTTTGGTCAGTAGAAGATTAGTGGCCAAGATACAAATAGAGACTGTTAACATGCTCTCATGTTTGGCTTGTCCTCTTGTGATCTTTCAGGAGAGCGTGCTTTAGCAAGCCACTGCCCCTCTAGCCTATCCCTTAGAATTATGACATGGAGTTGACCCAAACACAACCCAGAGCTTCGGCCTGGCCAAATCCAGTTGAGCAGTGCCTTGCCTAGCTGATCTGCAGATCTATAAACATTGTCATAAACCACTAAGCTTCTGAAGTTATTTGTTATGTAGCAGAAACTAAGGAATCTAGCTCAAATGAAAGGACCAGACAAGAGACATACTTCTGTGAGTCATTGATACAGAAATGGTAGCTACAATTTGTGTCGTAGATGAGACCTCTGAGACCACAACATTACACTATTTAAAAACAAATCCACTTTGGATAAGTTTGGACAAACTTTTCTTCGACCATGCCTCCATCCTCTGAGCCAGGTAGTGCATCTCATCTGAATACTTTAACTCTCTCTTCCACAGCATTGCAGTTGGGCCTGCTAATCAGAGCCTCAGGCTCCAAACTTGTGTCACGGCCTGCACACCCAAACTTTTTGTCCTCTGCCTATCTTTTGACTTAGGCATCTATGGCGCATTTCTGATTTGGTGTGTCTTTGAGTGGCAATGGCCTATGCCTCTCAAACATTTGCTTTTTAAATGTAAATGTTAATGCCCTTGGGCCAAAGCTAACTAGCTATCAGGCTATGTGGAGTTAACCTCTTTGCCAAAGAAAGCCTCTGTATGCATCACAAAGGTGACTGCCTGTAGCCATCACTGTAGAACACATTCAACTTTCTCCAAATGTCAATGAGAGGACTTGAAACAAGATCTTTTCTTTTAATTCTTATTTTTATTTTAAGTTCTGAGGTACACGTACAGGATGTGCAGGTTTGTTACACAGGTAAATGTGCGCCATGGTGGTTTGCTGCACCTATCAACCCATCATCTAGGTATTAAGCCCAGCATGCTTTAGCTATTTTTCCTAATGCTCTCCCTCCCCCCATACAACCCTGACAGGCTCCAGTGTGTGTTGTTCCCTTCCCGAAACAGGAACCTTTTGCAGCCTCCATTTAGACTTCTTGATAGGAAGAAGAAAATATGGAAATCTATATTATGTATGTTGATTCCTGGTTCCTCCAATTAAGAACCCACACGGTTGCTCCAAATCTCAAATTCTCATCCTCTTTCTTCCTCTCTTCTCATTATTTTTTCTTTCTTTCTTTATTTCTTTCTCTCCACTCAGGCTGCATTCATTAAGCTCTCTTTGCTTAGGTTTGAATAAAATGAGCACATTGAAATATTTAGCTGATTTCCTTTTCCCCTTTTCCTATGCTAATTCCTTAGTCAATTCACTACCGTAATAGAAGTTTATATTCATTTTTCTCCATTTCTCTGTTCTGTGTGTTTGAAGGGTTCTCTCTCATATTCATTACACCTGGTAATCTGACTCTCGCTCTTCTGTAAATAATTCCCTTCATCTTTCAGGGGATATCGAATGAATTCTTTTACTTCTCTGTTTGAAATTAATCTGCAGTGACGTTTGAGTCCTCTGTGGATTTAATGGAAAATATCAGGGAAAAACCCACGGCATCCATATCCCTGATGGTTGCCACTCAGGCTTCTTCACTAAGTGTTTTAAAGAGCACCCAGGCAAGAGCTAGAAGGCCTGAATTCCAGCTTCAGCTCTTACACTTGGTTGCTATGTCGCCCTAGATTGTATTCTCCTTGTCTTCTTGGTTTGTTTTGTTTGGAGATGGGGGTCTCATGCTGGAGGGCAGTGGTGTGATCCTAGCTCACCGCATGATCACTGCAGCCTCCAACTCCTAGGCTCAAGTGATTTTCCTGCCTCAGTCTCACAAGTAGCTAGGACTAGAGGCGCAATTTTTAATTTTTTTGGTAGAGATGGGGGTCTTCTTATGTTGCGTAGGCTGGTCTTGAACCCCTGATCTCTAACAATCCTCTCATCTCAGGCTCTGGAGTTGCTGGGATTTACAGATGTGAGCCATCATGCCTGCCCCCTCCTCCCTGCCTTTAAGATGGTGATAACGTTATGCTATTTACCTTACCTGACTGTTGACCTAATTAATCTGAATAAGAAAATTTTAATATATGATTAAATATTGAAAGCTGCAGCAGTTAGGAATATATTTGGTGATAGAAACAAACTAATCAATTTACAGTAACTTTAATAGTTGGGTTTATTTTTCTCTTAGGACAAGAATAAAGTATGTGATTAGTTGGGTGGGTTCAGTGGATCAACGGTCTCTCTGTCTTCATCAGGAGAGCAAAAATTTCCCCAGAACATGCTCCTAACAGATTTGCACTTGTTTTTCATGGCCGGAAGTAAGTCACAGGGCTGCATTTAGCTCAAGGGAGATGGGAAAATTGAGTATTTGGAAGTCAGTGGGTGGCAAAAAGAAGGGTGTCGCAAATATTTTGGGGATAATCACTTAGAATTATCTGCCTGAGGAAGTTTTGAATTAAAATCACATTAACGAATACACCTATCACCTTCCTTTGGAGAGGATGCAGTGCTTCCTCAAACTTCCATTTGCTCAGAGAAAGCAGAAACCCAGGAGGAGAGCCAAGTGCCTGCTGTGCCTCTTCCTTGGGGCTGTGTCTTCCCTAAATCTAGATTGCTGGTCCAAGGGAATGAGGCCACTCAGTTGGCTTCATCAGTGGAAATTCTCAACACATAATACTCTTCTGCTGTGAGATGTTTCACCCTGAGAATAAAGGTGCAGACACTATCAAGTCATGGGGCACAGGTAGAATTCTGACTCTTCTCTTTTCTAACTGTTAATCTTGGACAAGTTTATACTTAAAACACTCACATTGCTCATTTGAAAATGGGAATAACAATGTTACTTGTCTCTTTTCTGTGGCAGTGAGGATTAAATGGAAAGCCCTAAATACAGTTGCTACCATATGTAACCATTCAGTAAATGGTAAGTGCTATTATTTATTTTTTTTTGTCCTTCAAATTTTATTATGGCTCTACATTTTAAACAAATGCATCAACATAATTTCCATAATAATAGTCAGAAATGCTCACTACTTAATAAAGGAAACAAGAAATAATCTTTTAAATTATTTTAATACAGTCTCTTGAGAGCAGTAACACGTTGGTAAACTTTCGGCAGAAGTGCATTCCTAAATAAGTAAACCCAAGGCAACAGTTGACAAAAAGGTAAAGAAAGAAGTAGCTTTATTTTAAAATAGCGTCCTTTGGTATCTCTGGGGGACTGGTTCCAGGAACCCACATGGATACCAAAATCCTTGGATGCTCATGTCGCTTTTATAAAATGGCATCGTATTTGCATATAACCTACAGACTCTCCCAAATACTTTAAATCACTTCTAAATTATTGATAATACCTACAATGTAAATGCTATCCAAATAGTTGTTTTACAGTATTGGTTTTTAATTTGTATTTTTTATGTTAGATTATTATTTTTTATTTTTTTTCTTGAATATTTTTGATAGATGGTTGTCTAAATTTGCAGATGCAGAACATGTGGGGCCAACCATAAACGCCAAAAAAATCAACTTTAAAAAATAACTTTAGCAATGTGAGTTATTCTTAAATACAAATGGGGACTGAACATACATGTATCAAATTGTACTCTCATACACTGACATAAGCATACCTCCAAACAAGTTAATATAAAGGTAAATACATAAATATATACAAATAAATACACATACCCAAATAACAAGCCACATAGCACCCACCATTTTCCAAGGCCAAAATTTTATATAAACATACTGGCAAATACAGCAAAATAACACTGGAAATTAATATGCTTACATATATAGACATGTATAAATACCAGAATTCAAAGTGACATGTAGCATATAACACAGGTACTTAAGGCGTAAACAACACAGCTCAGTCAGAAACAGCCCATAAAGCAACAGTTATCCATTGAAACAAATGCTATTGTAACCTTCTCACTAGGGATGAAAATTCAGCAGTTCACAATGGAATTGAGATTAATAAAATGCTCATGCTTTAAATAATGAAACAAAGAAACCAGACCCTAAACCACTCACCACTGCTGAGTTGGTTATGTTGATAATGTGAAGACAACTTCAGAGACTTAAAAGCACAGGGAGGCTTCGGGAGTCCTATCTAGAAAAAGGATTTGCTAAATGTAATCACTGAAGGTGAACATAGAAACATTCTGTAAAGTTGGCTAAATTACCTTTAACTTATTTTTTTTTTTTTTTAGAAACAGGGTCTCATTCTATTGCTTAAGCTGGAGTGCAGTGGCATGATCTTAGATCACTATAGCCTTAGACTCCTGGGCTCAAGTGATCCTCCCAGCCTCAGCCCCCTAAGTAGCTGGGATCACAGGTGTGTGAAACCATAACTGGCTCAAATTCTTTTTACTTTGAAGGCCCTGCTAGAAACTTGCTGGTGCTCTAATTCACGACTTGGAGAGGCAAAACTAAAAAAGCTGTTGCTGGGTTCATGTGCTGTGGGAGAACCTACAAAAAATGGTCTGAACTGAAAATCTCCATCTCCATCTCCCCGATTTCGAACAGGTGATCTATCCAAAGGAAACCTGGAGTTGTTACCTAATGGGAAGCCAAAAACACCAGACTGTGCCTTCATGGTTAGCAATAGTGATGTTTCGTAGCCTAAGGCTATCATAGAGGCCTTGGAGCTTTTGATACTGACGATTGCGCTCCATAAGTTTCTCAGAGATGTCACTGAACTTTTTTTTGTATTCTTCTAGCACTTTCTTCATGGAGGTGACCTCCCCTTTCACAGAGGTCAATTCTACATCCTTGCTTTGTATTTGCTGAGTATATATCTTCTCCATCTGTTTCAGATGGCCCTCAGCCTTGCTGAAATTGTATTCTTGATAGAGACGTTCCTGATGTACCTGGTATGTCCAGAAGGCCAGTGCTCGGGAGCTAATGTCCAACACGATCTCTGGTCGCAGTCCTGCCAATACCGTAGCTTTATATTCCTCTGACAGACTGAGTTCTGTGCGGACAATATCTAGCTTTCCAGAAAGGGTACTGCTGCAGGCAGGACAGATAGCTGGTGAGCGACTAAACTCACCACTGCCATGCTGATCACAGAAGATGTGAGAACAGGCAGTGACCCATGGATAGCCAGAGAGTTTGATGCGACACTTTCGATAATTACAAAGCAGCATATCTTCACACAAAGACATAATAGGATAGTGAGGTCTCCAGAAGCTGAAGAGAGTCCGCAGCGCCACAAGCGAAGATTCCAGGATTCTCTGCGCGGGAGGGCGTCAGGGAACTACGCCAGAGCACGCAAGCGCGGGGTTGCCCCGAAGCATCCTGGGACCTGCCAGGCTGCGGGGAGTTGCTGAGGGCCTCTCCGGCTTCCTAAAAATCACAAGTTCCCAGAAACGGTGTGACAGCTCTAATTGAACATCTGGCACCTCCATGTATCCCAAAACCATAAAATGCAGTAATCGTCTACTGTATATCCAGGATTTACAGCACCAAAGAGGTCCGGAATGGAACAGGGAGACTCAGATCTGGTTTTGGTCTCTTGAAATTTTACTTATCTGGCATCACATGAATCCAGCTTCTATCTAGAAACCAAGTTGAACCACGGGATCTGTCAATTACCTAAGATCATCTGTGTAGTGAAGAGAACTTAAGACAGTTCATCTTGATCAAAATTCAAGTACCAGGCTTTAGGTCCCATCAGCCTTTAACCCTTTCTATTGAGAATGTCCAAATCCAAGCCCAGTTGATTTTCAGGGGGTCTGTAGATGGACCAATTCTGGACTGGCACATAGGGTGCTGAAGGCCCAGGCCTTTCATCCTCAGTGGATTTCATCTTCAACCAGCCCACCAAAACGGAGAGGGCGGTAAGTGCTATTATTAACATTAGTAATTGCTATGTACTGACTCTCTATGGCCCCCCAAAACTGATATGCTGAAACCTAATCCGCAATGTGATGGTATTTAGAGGTAGGGCTTTTGGAAGTGATTAGGTCATAAAGGTGGGGCCCTCATAAATGGGATTAACACAGTTTATAAAAAGAGACTCTCGAGAGGCCCCTCGCCCTTCACCGCTGTGAGAATACAGTAGGAAGATGGCTGTCTGTGAACTGGAAAGCAGGCCCTCACCATACACAGAATGTGCAGGCACCTTGATCTTGGACCTCCCAGCCTCCAGAACTGTGAAAAATAAATGTTTGCTGTTAAAGCCACCCCGTCCAGGATATTTTTATTATAGCAGTCCAAACAGACTAACACAGTAATCATAAACAGTAACACTTTCTAAATGTACAGATTTTCCAACTCTATGTCAACTTTACTCCAAAAGGTTAGTTAGCAACAAGAATTATGTGAATAATGATTTCTGTTTGCATCTAAAATTAAACCACATGAGCTTATTGGAATTCATCCTAGAATATCTGTAATTGTTAGTATTTGAATGACAAGCTCTCCCATACATTTACTAAAGTTTGTAAAGAAAACTGTGCCATTCCAGAGTATGATGATCTGTCCCCGTGATGTATCTAGTAAGTTCATTACTTGTCTGTAGTAGTCTCTTGCCAAATTCAATCTGCAAAAGCAATAGCCATTTCTTTTAATCTTGTTTGCAATATTGCTCATTAAATAGAAGATATATTATGCCAGATCTTGTTCATTTCAAAGCAAATTATAGGAGGTAACTAAATTGTGCACCAGGAGAAAGAGTCCAATGTTTAACCAGCAAGGCCACAAAATCAACATCTGCTTTTTGACAAGCTGAGAGATCCAAAAGAGCCTTGATGAATCTTAATGCTATCTGTCATATACCACAATGTTCCATCAATTATTTCATTGTGAAAGAATGACTAATTATTATGCCTACATGGGGATCATTTGCATATTCGAGCTCAAGTGTTTTATGGAGAAAAGAATATTGCTTTGCTGTGAGGGCAAACTCCTTCCCTTCAGATTAAAATACTTCTTTTTACACACTGTTACATTAGGCTTGCTATTGAAACCCAGGGAGAGAGAAAATATAATTCAGGAACTAAGTCCAAATCTATTTTCCCATTTCCAACAGAAAGGAAAACAGTATATTTTTCATGTATTTTAGACTAAATTTTTGAAAAATGTCCCATGCAGCTGCCATTGTTCATCAGGGAAAATGATCTGGATACAATTGGCCTAATCAACTCTTAATCTGAGCACATAAGTGGATGATTATACCTAGTGTTACCCACACAAGCAGTTGCTGACATCATGGTCCTTTTGAAAACGCTGCACCTGAGATAGATGCCAGGTAGATGGCACTGGAGATTTCAGACTCCAGAATTCAAAAGAAGCTGAGCATCTGGTGGAGCCATCCATTGAGCCAAAAGGCTGCTCTCTACAGATGAATGAGTGTTAAGACAGCTGTCCTTCCTAGACCACGAGCAGCCACTGGCCAGGGTTGCTGCCTGCCAAAAGGGTGGAGCTGGAAGAAACCAGGAGTCAACCACGGCTACCGCAGTCTAATGAGTTAGTTTGACACCAGGGACGTATTAGAATGACTTGCTGCTGCTACAAGCTTGCACATGACTCTTCTCAACTGCAGAGAAAAGCCAATATGATGCCAGGCTAGAAGAAGCAACATCACCATCAGCCTGGTCTCATTATACGTATAGCCCACTCTCTCTGATAGCATAAAGCTGGACCTGCCCTGGGCCGCCAACAAAGTCTCCCTGGAAGTCATGAATGGCACGCAGATGAGAAATATGAAACATCTAAGTGAATATAGAGGAGAGGGCATTTCTGATAGTCACTCATGAGTCAGGCCCACAGGCTTAAAACACTATGATACTTGTACTGGTTTCTTACAGCTGCTGTGACTTCAAACAAGAGACATTTTTTCTCCCGTGGTTCTGGAGGCTGAAAGTCTAAAATCAATGTGTTTTCAGGGCTATGCTCTCTCTAAAGCTGTAAGCAAGAATCCTCCTTTGCCTCTTCCACCTTCTGGTGGTTTCTGGCATTCCTTGGTTTGTGGGAGCCTAAATTCAGTCTCTGCCTCCGTCTTCATTCACATGGCCTCTTCCCTGGGTCTCTGTGTGTTGTTTCTCATAGTCTTCTTATGATGACGCCAGTTACTGGATTTTGGAACCACCCCACTCCAGTATGATCTCATCATCACTTGATAAGGTCTGCAAAGTTTTTATCTCCAAATATGGTCACATTTACTGGCATGGGGAGTTAGGACTTTAACACATAATTTTAGGGAACACAATTTACACCACAACACTGGCACATGAAGAAGGAATAGGAAGTGTCTAGATGAATTTAGGGGAGAGGGTATTTTCTGTATTTACTTAGACTGAAAGAATGTCATGAATCAAGCCGAAGAACTTGAAACACCTGGTACTTCTATAGAAAACCAGCAATGCTGTAATCTGGGTTCTCCACCTCACTCCTCACTCCTTAGGATGCCTTACTTCCCCTGTGGGAAGACCAGCAACACTTAGCATTATTTGCTCATTGTATTGGTAGAGGGGTCACTAGTGTAATTGTAACACAGCAGCCCACCCCTAAAATTTGCAGGGCTCAGGATAAGAACACAAATGGAGACCCACATAACATATGTCTAATTATTTCCAAGTTATATTTCATGCCACAAATTGTTAAGCAAAATATGTTCTGTTTTCCTATTTTGACAAATACACCCTCATTACTACAAAATTTTTATAGGAATTGGAAAGCTGTGGTTTTTATTTAACTGAAAGTCGGCAAAATATCAGATGATCTGTCTGGGTAGTCTGTTGAAGGGCTGGTGATATTACAATGAGTAATAAACCAAATACAAAATTCATAAATTACATATTTATTTCACAGAATTTACTGTCTTGCCTTTATTGCAGAAAATGTACTAATTATGTTGTTGTTGCCTGGTGCGGTGGCTCACACTTGTAATCCCAGCACTTTGGGAGGCCAAGGCAGGTAGATCATCTGAGGTCAGGAGTTCAAGGCCAGCCTGGCCAACATAGTGAAACCCCTTCTCTACTAAAAATACAAAAAAAATCGCTGGGCATGGTGACACACACCTGTAGTTTCAGCTACTTGGGAGGCTGAGGCAAGAGAATCACTTGAACCCGGGAGGTGGAGGTTGTAGTGAGATAAGATTGCCCCATCGCACTCCAACCTGTGCAAGAAGAGCAGAACTCTGTCTTAAAAAAAAAAAAAGCTGTTATCAAGCTTTTCACATAATTTGTATTTTATTGACAGTGTTGCCAAATTAGACCAAATTCTTTGAATGCCTTTTGTTCTTGGGTAGTTTTTACAAACTTTAATGTTGAGAAATTTTGCTTTGCTGAGGCAAAAGCAACTGGTATTTTCATCAAAATGCTTAAAGCAATAACTAGATTCACATATGAATGATGAGTTTTATAGATCAAGTTCAAACATTATAATTCATTTATATGTGAAAATTTACCATTATCACAGAAAGAGCTATAATACATTTAGTTTCATCATAAAAATTGCTGTCACTTATGTCACAGTTTTAGCATTATATAAAGGGGTATAAAAAGCCATTTTATTGTTTTAAAGTTCTTATTTCAAATATTTCAATACTGGGATGATTACTAAAAAAACTGAAATAGTAGTATGTTGTAAGATTTGTTTAAATCTCATTTTAATCAGGACTATATCTTAATCTATGCAAGCTAGAAAAACTGTCTTCTTAAAAATTAGTTTCAGGATTATTTGCCCATATTATTTGTTTCTCCTTAGGGTCATTTTTGTTTCCAACTTCTAATTTTCTTATATTTTATTGACATGTCATTTTTGTATGTAACTCACATGTAGTTTCTATTACTTATAAAAATACATTTTATAATTAAAATACTGTGATATGTTATATACATATAATATGTGTGTGTTAAATATTTTTAAAATAAGACAGATTTGTTTAGGGTTTTGTAAACTTTTTCTAGCATTATTAATAGCATCCATCCATTTATACCAAATAGCTGGGCATAAATTATACTAATTGTAAATTTATACTAATTATAAATTAGCTTGATTTTCTGTGATGGCCACAGTTTTCTCATTGAGCATCTTTTGCTAAACTCTCTCACTGCAACTTATATTTCTTTATGTGTCCAAGAAATGCTCTAAGGTTTTATCAAAACATTTCATATTTTAAAAGAACCAGAAGAGATTACCTATAATCTAGATATTATTCCCAATAATGTCATGGATGAGGACACGGTAAAGGCCATGCCTACTAGTAATAGCACAAAAGAATTATACAAAAGAGTGCCAAATGCAAGAATAGATTTGGAGCAAATTTTTGGTTTGTGCACCTGTCCGCCATGTTAGCACCATTATCAGACACTTATCACTGACTAACTTTTATTTTGAAAGAGTGATCTGTTAAAGGATACCAAATTATAGCCAGATAGGAGAAATAAGTTCAAGTGTTCTTGAACTTATTACTGTAGGATGACTACAGTTAAAAATCATAGTTTTGAATAGCTAGAAGGAAAATATTAAACATTCCCAACATAAAGAAATG